ACGATGCGTGATTTAACCGGGAGCCAGTGGAGCTGCTGCAGGACTGGAGTGATGTGGTTATAGGAGGAGGTTTGAGTGATGACACGGGCAGCTGAGTTCTGGACCAATTGTAGCTTCTGGAGAGATTTGTTGGGGAGGCCATAAAGAAGAAAGTAGCAGTAGTCAATCTGGGAAGTCACCAGACTGTGAACAAGGATGGCTGTGGAGCGGGGTGTGGGAGAAGGGCGGAGACGGTTAATATTTTTTTTTACGGTTTTTGTTCACTTAGGACAAACAAACATGCTGTTGCTTGTTTTTGGTTACTATAAGAACAAACAAACATGTTTATTTGTTTTTGTTCACTGTAAGGAAAAACAAACATGTTGTTCTTTGTTTTTGTTTACTGTAAAGAAAAACAAATGTGTTTGTTTTTGTTCACTGTTAGGCCAAACAAACATTGTTTGTTTTTGTTTACTGTGAGAAAAAACAAACATGTTGTTGTTTGTTTTTGTTTATTGTGAGGAAAAACAAACATGTCATTGTTTATTTTAGTTTTCTGTGAGGACAGCTGTTGTCACAAGCTCACCTGTTGGCTCCAGCTTCTGATCATTCCTTTGACTGAGCTCAGCTCCGGGTCTGATTCTTTCATGCGGGATGAAGCAGGCTCTTTGTTTCGGGGGGGGGGGGGGGGGGGGGGTTATGGGGGCTGCCTCCCCCCCCCCCCCCCCCCCCCACACACACACATAAACAAGTTGCTTTGGTCTGATCTCTGTCCACAAACAGAGACCTTTTCACTTTTTTATGTTTTGAGAAGCACATTTTGAATTTCAGGATATTTACTGCATTAATTTTATTCCCATAAATCATTTTTCATGGGTAAAATTAAATTCTGTCCTCTGCCCAGCTTGCGTTGATTTAAATAATTTAAAGAGGATCACAGATTAATCCCTCCTTTTTATTGATCATTTACTGATTGATTTGTCTGTTTAAAACGCTTCAAGTTGGAAGGAAAAACGATTAAAAAAGTTCCAAAAGACAAATATAACATGGATGGAATGATGTGAATAAAACAGTTTTTCTTAAACTTATTTATATAGAGAGCTGTTAGAAGTTATTTAAACTAAAGTGAAAATCGTCTCGTTTCTGCAGTTTTTTGTTTGTTTGTTTGTTTTTTACTTAAAGGTCTGTTTTTAGAATATTTGCAGAAAGAATATGAGGAAAATAAATTAAATTGTGTTAATTTGAGGTCCAAATAGACGCTGAAATATTCAGTTGTTTTTTTTTTTTTTTGTGGGTTTAGTTTCAGGCCTGTGATGGACAGGAGACCTGTCATGGGTGTCCTCCACCTCTCGCACAGTAAATGCTGAATATGGGCACCCGTGACCTCCACAACCTGAAAAGGAAGAAATGGGAAAAGATTATGGATGATGGATGGATAGTTTCAGGTGAGGTCTGTTCTCAAACACCTTAGATTCATCTCAGTTATTTCGTTTTCTGATCAGATTCAGCTTTTTTACACAACGAACACGCTTTGTTTGTTCTTGTTATTTATTTTATTTTATTTTACTTCCTTTCTCCTGCAGATCACTTTCTTCAGGACCCCTCCTCCCCCTTGCAGAAAGCTGCTGACTTTAATTAAAGGTAAATGAAATTAAAGCCTCTGCTTGGATTAACAGCAGTTACAACACATTTGTTAGTGTTTGGCCAACAAAACAGAGAAGAAGAAAAGTGAAGAATCCAACAATCAAATTAAGAAGGTTCAAATAAACATGTATATTAAACATCAGCTTTTAAATATAGATAATAGTCTGTGATTTATTATTATTAGTAGTAGTAGTAGTAGTAGTAGTAGTAGTAATATCATCATTATTATTATTATTGTTGTTATTATTTTTGTTATTATTGTTGTTGTTTTTGTTATTATTATTATTAGTTCTTATTGCATTTATTATTCATATTATTATATCATTATAATCCTTATGCTTACATAATAATACGTATTATTGTTATTGTTATTATATTATTATTATCATCATCATTACTATTATAATAATTATTATTATTGTTATCATATTATTATTGTATTATTTTTATATTATAATTGTTATTATTGTTGTTGTTTTATTATTAATATTATTAGAGTTATTGTTATTGTTGTTGTTATTATTATATTATCTCATTATTATTAACATATAATTTTATTATTTGAAATTATTATTATTATTATCATTAAAATTATTATTATCCTTAATTATTATTATTATTATTATTATTATTATTATTAATATGTTGACTACGGTCAGTATAATCCCTTCATTAATTACAATCTAGCTGTTTTTTGCTACTTTTCCTTGTAATTATCCTTTTAAAACCCTTTTTTATTTCACTTGTTAAAAAAATACATTTGTACACATCCTTTATGATTGTCTATCTTTGTAGATGTTGTCCACTGTTCTCATCGATCTTTGTTAAAGAGATCAGGTCTCTCTTGTAAATGAGTCCCCAAGGCTCAGTGGGATTAACCTGTAGAAATAAAGGGTGAACAAATTATTATTTCTATTATTATTATTATTATTATTAGTAGTAGTAGTATTACAATTATATCAATAATCTTATTTTTTCTATTATATAATTACTAGCATCATTATTTTTCTTACTATTTCTAGTCTTATATTTATTTTATTATTATTGTTGTTGGTGTTGTTGTTTAATTTCTTTTATATCATTATTATCATTATTATTGTCATTATTATTATTAGTGATTTTGTTTTATTGTTATCAATATTATTATTATTTTATATAATTTATAGTTTTTATTGTAACTGTTGACTTTTTTAAATATATTTTTCTATTTCTGCAAGTAAAAACATAAATAAACAATTTTTTAATTAATTTATTTATGTATTTGTTTATTGTTTTTAACATTTTCACTAATCTCATGTTTTTGTAATATATGTTCATTTAATTATCTTCTCCTTTTTACAGTTTTAATTTCACGTTTCCTCAGAAATGTTTTCAGAACTAGCACAAAAATGAAGTTCGAGGTTCTTTATTGTTTCATCGCATGTGTTGCATGAGGTGGAACTAAATTGTGTACTTATGGTCCCAGTTACTTCCAGCAATAGCAAAATATAAATGATAAAAAAGAAACTGTAAAGAAGGATCTAAGATATAAACTAAGAAATACACTAAAATGCACCAAGTAAATAAATAAATACCAAGTAAATAAATATTTCAATAAATAAATAGATTTTTTAATAGTGTTTCGATATATAAGTAAATAAATAAACACACAAACAAAAAAATCCATAAACAAAAATATATAAATATACAAATAAATAAAGAACCAAAAATCTGTTAATAGGCAAATGAATGTTTTGAGCAGGTGAACAACTTGGATCAGTTGAATGTGTTTCTTGTTGGAACTCAACTGCTCTAAGATTGGATCATAATAAATGTTATAATTTATTATTATTATTATATAAATGTAGAACTTGATGCTTTTGTTCTTGTTTGTTTAAAGCTTAAATTTTAATATGAACTATGAGCTCTCATTAAATGTCTTCTTATTAAAGCAAAACAAAACGAAATTAGCCTGAAGATCCAGTTGAAGCAAAACACGCACGCGCGCGCGCCCTCCTGTCTTCAGGTTTCTTTCTTTTTTTTTCTTTTTTTTTGAATGTCCAGAGGACCAGATGGAACTTCTTTAGATGTTTCTACCTGGATTATTGAGCAGCATCAGGAGATTTCATTTCTTGCTTTTGTTTTGGTGAGATGAAAACATGACGCTGAAAGACACACGCTGGCGCGCACGCGCGCACACACAGAGTTCTTATTAATCATGGATTTATTTCACAAAGTTATTTTAAACTTTCTTTGGACACGCTGGTGTTTGGGTGGCTCCTGGGGGCCCCAGTCATGGCTCCTTGTTGCTCCCTGCTGCTCGCATGGTGTCTGTCTGTGTCTGTGCGCGCGTGTCACTCTTCCTGGTCCACGCGGCCCAGTTTGCTTCAAGACCAGAGCAGAGTGTGACAGCACTGACCCCCCCACACCGAGCAAACACTGAATGGAAGCTGAAAGGACCAAAGGAGTCTCCAAAGTCGACCTCTCTGCAAGCTGATCTTTACTCCGCTGTTTGGTTCCAGAACCACCCCTCCCCGTCCCGGTCCCGGTCCCGGTCCCCGTCCCGGTCCCGAACCTTCTATATTAACGGAATGCGCAGGAGCCCGGCGCAGCCCCCTTTAATCCCCCCGCAGCCGTGATTTAGCCCCCGGTGCTCCTAATGCTCCTAAAGCCCCAGCTGTCTCCGCAGCGGCCGCGACAGACCGCGCGCGTACCTCGCGGGGTTAATAATTCCCCCCCCCCCCCCCCCCCGGCCCCCCGTCTCCCCCCACCACCACCTCACACTGACTGTGAACGCCAGAGCTGAAGCCTCACCCTGCGGGCGCGCGCAGGTGACAGTGGCTCGGTTTCTTATTAGTCGGTCAGTTTTGGACGTTCCGCGTTTTGGAGCCGCTGCGCTTTGATGAGGAGGCGGTGAGCCCCCCCCCCCCCCCCACACACACACACACACACACAGACACACACACAGACACACACGTGCACTCAGCTCGTATGTAACTCCGTGTGTGTGTCAGAAAGGAGAGAGAGGGGAGAAGGAGAGCGAGGAGATAAAGCAACAAGCCGCAGAAGAGGCGCGCGGCGCAGGAAGCAGCAGAAAAGACGCACAGAGAACTTCCGGTCAGCTTCTTTCACTCAAACAATTATTAGATCTGTCAGGGAGTTGCCCCCCCCCCAGCCTCCGTCTCCTCAAGTCAAACCTGGATAAGTTCGGCGGTTGAACGACGCGCCTCCTCCGGACTTCTCACGCACGCTCGTGCTGCATCACGCTCATGAAGAGCGGACTCACTTCTCAGACAGACGCGTTTTTCTCCAGCCGACTTGTTTAAAGCTTGTGGGTTTTTTCTTTTTGGCTTCCGGCAACAGCGAGGAGACCAAGCCCCCCCCTAACCCCCACCCCTCATTTACTTCTTCTTGCTTGGAAGCTGAACTTTTGAGGAAAATGGGGCATTGAGCAGGCTGGCACCCCCCACGCTATCATGGTACGTGTTGTGGAAGTGAATGAGCTGAAGTGTAGCTGATATTAGCTGAAAGGAACGAGGCGCGTGCGCTTTGCTGCTTTTCTGCTTTTATTTATTTATTGTGAAAGAGCAGAAGTCAGTGGCTGCAGATCACCTGTGTGTGTGTGTGTGTGTGTGTGTGTGCGTGTGCGTGCGTGTGTGTGTGTGCGTGCGTGTGTGTGTGTGTGTGTGTGGGTGCGTGTGTGTGTGTGTGTTAATAATAATAATAATAATAATAATAATAATAATAATTACAAACCACGTAAATTTACAGTCATCAATCAAACTCTGAGGGAATTTTTATTAATAATGAGAATTATCAAAAAATGTAGAAAGACTCGTGTAATTTAACAAAAATCTGTTTTTTGACTGGCTGCACTTTTTATGCTTTAATTCCTTCTGACATTTCCTTTTTGAAGAAATGCGTCCTAGTAAATATATTTATTAGAAATTAGAGATTTTTCAGGTGAAATGAACTGAAGTGACCATGTTGTTGTTGTTGTTCAGGAATTAGTTGGATAATCTCCAATTCAGAGCACCTCGCTGCTTCTTTGACACTTCGTGGAGGTGGGTTTTTTTTTTTTTGGGGGGGGGGGGGCGTGCTGTTTATAGCACGATCATTTAAAGCTAAGCTGACAATCGGATGAAGAGAATTACCTCTGTAATTCCTGCTGCTTTTCGGTGGATAAGTACAAAAATATCTCTCCAAAGCGGCAATATTATTATTATCATCGCCATCTATTATTATTATTATTATTATTATCATTGTCATCTATTATTATTATTATTATTATTATTATTATTATTATCATTGTCATCTATTATTATTATTATTATCATCATCGTCATCTATTATTATTATTATTATTATTATCATTGTCATCTATTATTATTATTATTATTATTATCATTGTCATCTATTATTATTATTATTATTATTATTATCGTTGTCATCTATTATTATTATTATTATTATTATTATCATTGTCATCTATTATTATTATTATTATTATTATTATTATCATTGTCATCTATTATTATTATTATTATTATTATCATTGTCATCTATTATTATTATTATTATTATTATCATCGTCATCTATTATTATTATTATTATTATTATTATCATTGTCATCTATTATTATTATTATTATCATCATCGTCATCTATTATTATTATCATCTATTATTATTATTATTATCATCGTCATCTATTATTATTATTATAATTATTATTATCATCGTCATCTATTATTATTATTATTATTATTATCATCGTCATCTATTATTATTATTATCATCATCATCTATTATTATTATTATTATCATCTATCATTATTATAATATTATTATTATTATTATTATTATTATTATTATTATTATTATTATTATTAAGGATATTCCTGCAGAGTGAAGATGCTGCTCGGTTTCTGCAGCTGAGAGCTGCTGGACTGAAATCGAATGTAGATTTCAGATCAGTTTGTAGTTGTTGTTGTTGTTGTTTGTGGGGGTGGGGGGGGGGGTGAAGATTGAATCAGCAACTTTGCTTCTTCCTAAAACTCTAAGAACAAATTAATTCATGCATTAATCACATCAATCAGACTTTGAAAAATATTTGCATATAATTAAACTCGGTGTCCAAACTCATCCTTTTTCAGGAAATCATTAATTTGATAAGTTTTTACCCACCATTCATTTTGAATTGTTTGATTCTTACTTTCATTTTTCCTTTTCTTCACTAAAGTCTCTGATTGTTTCCGTTTTAACAAAATACAGAACAATATTTTACTATAATTACAACAGCAACAGCATTGCACTTTTCTCTTCTATTTTATGGTAAATTTGAGATTGACTGCAGTTTGGTGTGGTCTTTGGAGTAACTTCACATTAATTAGACACTAAAATATTTACAATGAAAAACTCTGACAGAGCGGGTTGTCTCTTCGGACATAAAAAACATTTATCCATTCATCCATTATTTTTAATACAAATAATATTCTTTATGAATATGAGACAAACTTTATGGTTCTCAGTCCATCAAGCACCTTAAAGAGCTCAAAATCTGCCCCCTCCAGATATATTTAATATTTGAAAGATCAGTGGTGCACAGTGTTCACACATTGAGCTGCTGTAAATCAATGCCGCCCCCCCACCCCCACCTCCATCATGTTGAAACTTTGCCACAGTTGTAAAACAAAAAAACAAGGCCTCAAAATGTCAAATTGCACATTTCTCCGTCCAGTTTATATCTCAAGCAAGCCGTAAAGGATGGTGGCTCCTGGAGGGATGGGGATTCTGACAGGACGGTGGCTCCTTACAAAACATACCATACCATTTTATTTATAGAGCACTTAAAACAGCTACAAGGCCAACCAAAGTGCTGTACAGACAGAACAACAGGTAACACACAAAGCAAAATACAAAATGAGGTAAATCAGAATATAGACATAAAAACGATGCAGATAATGACGACAAACCAGTGTGGAGCATACAGGATCAAAACACAGATCATCTGGTGTTGAAAGCTACTGAATAGTAGTGAGTTTTTAAACGGGACTTGAAAACCAAGAGGGGGGGGCCTGTCTGACAAGCAGAGGTAACTCGTTCCAAAGTCTTGGTCCTGCTACAGAGAAGGCCCTGTCACCTCTGCACTTAAGACGAGTTCCTGGAACTGTGAGGAGCAACTGGTCCGCTGACCTCAGGGAGCGTGGTGGGACATACGGTTGTAGCAGATCAGAGAGATGGGGGGGGGGGGGGGGG